CACGAAGCTCTAATACCGGTAGAAGTGGGGGAGCCGACTTTAAGGTTTTCCCAAACAAATGAAGACGCAAACAATGAAGTGTTGCTGGTGAGAATGGACTTGCTCGGCGAACATAGTGACTTGGAGTACGTGAGGATGATGACCCAAAAGCAAATGATGGAAAGATATTATAATCATAGGGCCAATCTCCGTTACTTCAAGGTAGGAGACTTGGTTTTGAAAAAAGTGACTCAGAGAACTCGGAAGTCAATGTCGGGAAGCTGGGAACAACATGGGAAGACCCTTACCGGGTTTCAGCTATCACCAGTAAAGGGTCATACGAGTTGGAAAATCAAGATGGAGTCAAATTACCTAGCAATTGGAACATAACTCACATCAAAAGGTATTATTGCTAATAAAGCCTACCAAGACTAAAAGTATGTGCTGCACTCTTTTTTCCTTCGACCAGTTTTTATCCCAATCGGGGTTTTCTGGCTAGATTTTTAACGAGGCATCGATGTAAAGCATACTACGAAGGTAGCGTCATTGGCAACGGAAATACCTTTAAATAGCAAGCATTACAACTTTCGCATCAACGGTGAACAACTATATGGATGGTTAAATAATCTTTGACTCAATGACAAGCCTTCTCTACGTTAATAAAAAAGGTTATTTAACCATTCACAAGTTGTTTCCACATGTGAAGCCGTATTTGGGTACAAGAATTCCTGTGTTCGAATTCGCATGCTCCGCATTCAAACACCGGGGGAGAATAGTATAAGATACGGCACCAAGAACTCCACGAAAATCGATGACTGCTAGAACCGGGAAAAATAATGTCTCATCAGGGCCGGGGACTGCAAGATCAGCCCCTAAGTTGTGCAAGTTGGCCACATATAGTGGCAAATTTATTTATTTAAGCAAATGGTTGCCCATCATCAGGGCCGGGGACTACATGATCAGCCCCGTAGAAATAAACAAGTTGGACAAATGTATTGACAACTTTATTTATTTAAGCAAACAAATGCCTATGTACTTTTAAAGATAGAAGAAATAAAATAAAGTCCTTTTATTTTTATCTTATTTCTTGTCCAAATGATGAGTTAATTTTATCGTTTGAAAGTTAACTAAAACTTCAAATGCTTGTACTGAAATGAACAGGAGATGTCCTCTTCAAGAGCACCGTAAAAATAAGGGCACTGTCTTATGAAATCCTCATAGTAAAGGGTAGATTCCGGAAGAATTTATGCCCGGAATCAAAAGCTATCAAATGAAAATACACCTGAAGCTTTAATCAACTAAACATAAAAGGAATATTTTTAAACAACACTTAAGCAAAAAAATTCTTCATTTATCACGTGCCAAACTCGGTGAAAGGTTTGGCATAATTACAAAATACAAAAAAAAGGAAGAAAAAAAGAGAAAAGAAGTTATACTTCATTGCCTCTAGAACCCGAAGAAAGAGAAGGATCTACATTCCTCTGGTAGAGGAAGGAGGATTCACTCCTTCGGTTCCCAAATACTCAAAAACCAATACTCGAGGAGCCAGTTGCAGCGGGCCGAGCAGGAAGATTTTCACGAGCAAATAACTCCAGTTCCCGGGCCTGGGCAATATAATCGTCTATGTTGGCGATACCCTCTTTGGCCTCCTCCAAGGTATTCCTCTTCATATGATATATGGCATATGTCTTTTCAAAGACAAGGGAGGCGCATAACAAGCTGGTTCCTCTAAGCCAAAAGTTGATCCCGCTCGAAAGCAAGCTCTTGTGTAACAAGGATCAATCTTTGCAGGCTCTCAAAAACAAGGAGGTTGGCTTGGAAATAAGATATTCGAATTAAATCTACCCTTGCAGTGTATACATATCAAAAAAGAGATAGAGAGAAACTAGTAGGGTACTTGTGTTGCACTATGCATGCCGTTGTTTATCAGGCATTCCCTAGAAAGGAAGCCCATTTTCTTCCAATCTCTCTTCTAAGCCAGTGGTTTCAGATAATTTACAAGCTCCATCGGCTTGGATAAAAGATGACACTCTTTTGAAACCGAAAGAGTTGAACTTCTCCTCCCTCGAGGATCTGGGGAAGGGGTTGAATAATCCTGCCCCCAAGTTCTCGTGCTTGGGAGACCGAGGAGGAGAAGCATCCTTTTCTTGATCAGCCGATACAGTGGAGGAGAGGTAGTTACTGGTGGAGAAGGAGCAACTAGTGTCGGTGGGCGTGAAGCCATTAGTGTGGAAGGAGAAGAAGCAATTGTGGCAGAAGGAGTGTCTTTTGTTATTTTCTCAGTGGTTGGTGGCAGGAGAGGTCCAGGGTCCGAACTCCTTGGACCAGAGACAACAATGAGGGCGGAGAAGAGAGAATCAGCATTCTCGACCAAGCCCATCTCACCCAAAAGGGCCTCGACTTCATCTGATGTTGGGTTTTGAAGCTCCCCCGATTGATCTGATGAAGATATTTTTCTTCTTTGATAGGAAACCTCTTCATCAGTGGTTTCCCCCACATCCACGATTACCACTATGGCCGGCTAGGATGGCATTTTCTTTACTCTCTTCTCCTGAGTCCCAGCCGAGGAGGAACGTTTTTCTTTGATTTTTTGTCCTTGGGCTGGGGACTCCGAGAGGAGGCACCCTCACCGGAAGCAGATCCACGAGCTCTGCTTCGAGCAAATCATTTTGCAGCACCCTTCTAGCCTCCTCGGGGTCATCTAAGGCGTCGACCTCAAGGCAGGTGACAAAGCCCCTCGAAAGCCCTGTAAGATAAAATCGGAGTCAGCAACTTATTCATGAGATTTCTTGTTCTCGAACATAAAAGAAAGAAGGATTTTTACGTACCATGGTGCTTGGATTTCCACCCATATTTGGGTGACATCTCCTTCCACCGTCGGGATTCTAGAGTTGTAATTTCCAGAATTTTCTGAACCCATTGGTCTAGGCCTTGGCTCCTTGGAGGTTCCCGGCGAGTACCTGAAACAAAGAAAATGGAAAATTAACAAAATCAAAGATGATCTTTTCACGGGAAAAGGAAGCGATTGACTGAAAACTTACGAAAGTAATTCCACGACTCAGGAAAAGTTAGAGTTGCGGTCAGGATGATGTCCCTGGCAGCAATGACGACGAACTGTTCCATCCATCCACAATCGTTATCGTCGTCTACGCTGGTAGCCAGAGCGTGATGACCATGTTTACTAAAGTTTATTACTCCCCCACGGAAAATTCTTGGAGAGTAATGGTTCATTATGTGTGCAAGGGTTAGGGGTACCCTGGTCTCCGAGCACAGTTGGCATTTCGGTATACCGAAATATCGAAATATTTAAGTCCAAGCCCACCTCTATTTCTGCTTTCCATCCCAATAAGTCTAAGCCCAACACCCCAACCACCTTAATTACCTATTCCTTTATGCCTAGCGGCCTCCCTTAGGCTTAGAGACTTACGATAGTGGCTTCTTCTGCTTACCCCCTTTTCCTTTTCTATTTTCTATGTTTTCCTTTGAGCCAAATCAGCTCTTGATGAAATCAAAGCAAAAAGGAAAATACATATATGTGCACAAAGAGGTTGAATTCTCAGCAGAAGAGACGTTAAGAATATTCTTGGGAGATTTGAAAGACTTTGGTATGATACCGAAACCGTACCGAACTAAATAAGAAAATACCGAACCGTACCGAAATACATTGGTACGGTATTTGATTTTCACAATTGATATATCGAATACCGAAGTACCGAACCGTAGTTATTAGATACCGTGCCGAAGTACTGAACGCTCAAACCTAGCGTCTACGATAAATTACTGGGCAGCTTTGGAACATATTTTATGTTACTTGAAAGAAGCTCCTGGACTTGGCATATTGTATAGCAACCACAGCCATACTCGTGTTGAGTGTTTTGCAGTTGTTGATTGGGCCGGATCCAAATTGATATCAGATCTACTACAGGCTATTGTGTCTTTGTTGAAGGGAACCTGGTATCGTGGAGGATTAAGAAACAAAGTGTTGTATCTCGATCTAGTGCAGAATCCGAGTATGGAGCTATGTCACAGTCTACGTGTGAGATTATGTGAATACATCATCTTTTAACTAAAATTGGGTTGAAGCATTATACACCGGCAAAACCCTAGTTGATAAACAAGTTGCTCTTCATATTGCCTCAAATCCAGAGTATCATGAAAGAACTAAACATATTCATGTTTACTGTCATTTTTATTCGTGAGAAAATTCAGGAAAACTTGATTTCCACTGGCTAAGTGAAGTCATGAGAGCAATTAGCTGATTTGTTCACAAAGGCGTTGCATGGAACTCGAGTTGATTACCTTTGTAACAAGCTGGGCATGCTTAGTATCTATGCTCAAGCTTGAGGGGGAGTATTACAGAATAATTAGTGAGATGTAAATAGATTACTTTCCATAGATAGGTGACTTAATTATAGGAGCTGATCCTTAGGATATTTTCCTTTATTTTGTTTGATTTTGTTTCCTTTGATAGAGTCTAGTGTAAATGTATAAATCTCTTGTATTCATGAATAGAAATACAACAAGTTATTCTCTATGATTGCACTCCTATTGCCACTATATTTATTGCCATGTTCGTATGATATTTGTTTGCGTGTCCCGGATAGATTGACAGAATAATTGGTTCTTTATATGGTTTTTGACAATCTTTATTTCATATGCTAATTTTTGTGATTGAGTCAGGTCGAAGATCTACTTTCTTGACATGATATTAGATCAGACTATTCCTATTTTTGGTTTACTAATATTGAGTTCCCATGTTATTTTATCTACGCACTAGATATCCGGTCCTGGACTCTTTGGGATTGAGTTACGTCCGATATTTATTTTTCTTGACAATATTGACAATACTCCAATCAATGTTTTGTGGCCTTACCAAATTGGTAGCAACACATTTCACTTAGAAGCATCACCCCCACTGAGTGACATTCTTGAATAAGCCATTTTATTTAAGCCTTGAGATTGAATTTCTTAACTTCACTTTCTTAAATAAGCTAATGTCAAGTTTTTCCCCAATACAGTATAAAGGATATTAGTAACTCTTTTATTTCTTGTAAAGGAGTGGAACACTTCAATTTTTACTTAAACCCTTTTGTCCAAGCACAAAGAACTTGTAGGTCACATATAGAGGTAACAACTTAGGTATATCTCATAGGAATCCCTTTTCTTGGAAACTCTTAATGCAATCATCAAACATTCGAGTGAGAGTCTTTAGAGGAGGGAGACCCAATTCAGTTATCTTGCTGGTGTCCATGCTATGTGGCATGTCTTCTCCTTCTTGGCTGCTACACCTAAAAAGGGAAAAACAAAGGAGAGTTTAAGTTCTATTCATTGACGGTATAAAAATTATTTACATAATCAGGTCATTTATTAAGTAAAAATAGGTAAATTTCTTGATAAACATTAATTAGTATTTGATAAAAGTAGTAACCAACCTGCTATCACAAGTAAAAATTCACTGATCGTTACACTGTCAGTATATATAAACTAAATCCAAAAAGAAAGGGGTTTGAAACTTCAGTTGATCTGCTTACTTGTTCTCAAAAGGATAAGATGGATACTTGGTCCTTAACATGTCAATGATCTGCGACATGTGTTGCACTGAGTTTGAACATATGTATCTACCTGAAGCTTTTTGTTCCTCCATTACTAAAATATGAGCTGCCACTACATCCTCAATATGAACAAACCCTAACCTTTTGTTGGGATACTCTCCAAGCACACCTATATATAGTCAGAGGGAACAAAAAATACAAACAAGAAAATTGTTATGCCTTTCATAAAGCACCAACTTGAAAAGGAAACAAGGTAAAACTAAAATGAAGTGAAATGAAATTGTATCAAAAAACTTATAATCTCTTGGAATTAATGCAGATCTAGGCGGAAAATAAAATGAAAGAATAAGATTTGTATAGACTATATCTTTTTTCTTTTCACCATGGGCAATATTATTAAGTTGGGAATATTTTTAGTCGTGTTAGTACGATTATGTTAGATCCTATGTCTTTTAGGAGTCTTTGGTCGGCATATTTATATGTCAACAGAAAATATAGTGAACTTCTAGTATTTTTTATTAGTACATTTAATTTAGGTCCCATATTTTCTAAGAGTCTTTTAGTCGTTATATGCTAGTGGAAAATATATTGAATTTCTAGTACGTTTTATTTTCATTTCGTATAATAATGCTATGTAAATGAAAACCATATAGTCGACCTCAATTGTCAAAAGGTACAACCTTTAACAATAGCCAATATGATAAGCAATGTACTTGTGGGCTGAGGAGCAAGCAAAGGACCCACAACGAAGGATGGATTTACCACCACCAAATCGATACCACATTCCTTGGCTACTCTCCACGCTTCTTTTTCTGCTACAGTCTTAGCATAAGGATACCATAGCTGCAGTCAAATAAAACAAAGTTAAATCATGTTTCTATATCCTATGTAGCTAGTAAAAAAATTTGAAGTCCATACATACATTGTATCTTTGGCAATATTGAAGGTCACTCCAGTGGGATTCATTGAGAGGGGAAACTTGTTGGGCATCATCTCTGTATCTGATTGCAGAGCAAGATGATGTCAACACAAGCCTCTTTAAGTTGGTTGCTTTTTTGCAAGAGTTGAGGACATTTAAGGTACCCTTTACGCTTGGGTCAATCAGTGTTTTCTGCACCAGTTGGTTAAGTTGATAGGTTAATGTTTGAGGACAGTACTCTCACTACTCAAGAAAATGAACAATATAAGAGGTGTGGTGTGTATGTGTTAGAAAATTGATAAGAAAATAGACCTTGGGCCAATTCGAGCGGCTCTTGTGGTGAATGGTGATAGTTGTCCAACATCATATAAGGAGACAACTGTTCATTCTTTCGACTAATGTGAGATAACTTAATAACCCCAGAACTCAAAAGGCTGATAAAATTTTTGAACATTATAGGTTCGAGTGTTGGAATAAAATATGTATACTTATTTAGTAAATTTCTTAACACGTGCGCAAAGTTCTAGCCAAAGCTATTAGGTTTCGATAAACTCACAAGTTACCCCTGGATTGTGTATAATATAATATGGGGGGTCCAAAAATGAGTAAAACAAGAATACGGTTAGGGCTGGATCTGGTACTGTGATAAGAAAACGAATACCGTACGTGTCTAACTCAACCCGAAAAGTCAGGAGGATTGTTCCAAAATCCCAATCTTTTAATTGACTGATGCGGAACAATCCATCAAATAAAAATAGGAGGAAGAAGAAGAAGAAGGTGAAGGTAAAACTTGCCTCAACATTATCATCGTAAGGGACTGATACAGGTGAAGCAGTATGAAAGACTCCGTCAACTCCCTGAATAGCATCGTCAAAGCTACCTTCAACTAGAAGATCAGCTTTCATAATCTTGAGCCTCTCTTTAGCACCATCTAGCTCCCATAAGAACCCCACTTTCTCTACATTATCTGCTAATTACAAAATCAATAAATATTCATATTTGGAAGGAGGAAACTAAGAAACGATTTTTACAAACCTGGATCACGAACAGTGGTTCTTACAATGTGTCCTTTTTGTAGTAGGGCCTTAATAAGGTAAGCCGCAATGAAACCTGTACCCCCTGTTACACAGTATTCTCCCATTTCTTGTTTCTTCTCCACTTTACAGACCTAGGCCATGCTATTTATCTATGCAGCTAAATGCGAAAACAGGTTGGTAGCTTTTTGGTACAACTTGAAAATTTTGTGGGAAGAATAAATTAAAGCGCATTTGAAGGAATGCTAACTACAACTTTTAGTTCACACGATTTTGATCTTACCTTTTCTTTTAATTTCAACATTTGCGCAACTAAAAGAATACTTTGACAATCAAATTTGTAACCTTCTTCTCTTCTAACTTCAGTACAATTATTGTCGAACCATAGTTTATTGTCCCAGCCAAGCGAGTTTCCCTTCACTGCCACCAAACCAAAAATAACCTACTCGCTCGAAATTTTAAATATTTATTTGTACTCGATGTTTATATCAAATCAAACAATTTAACTTTGTCAGTTTGTGAAGGATTTAGGAGAAATCATTGTGGGAATTTTCTTTCTGTATCATTCTATATGTCATCTGTACAGTGTGTGCTCTTTATATACAAGTAAAATTGCCTGACAAGGCATCTTTCTACGCTAACAAACTCTAACAGAATTGTGAAATAAATAATTGCAAAAGGAAAATATTTACATGGTAAAATCCCTAATCTACCATTAATTTTGTTTCTAGAATTTCACAGCTGTGCAGCTTATGAGACACATGATGGAGGACACACGTCTTAATCATAGCAATCTTTGAGAACCTTAGATGTTCTTTATCTCAACTAGATCACGTCTCTTTCTCCTTCTGTAATCGGAGACTCGTCGGAAATGGTAGAATGAGGATTTTGTCCGGCAACACCCCCCTTCAAGCTGGACACCGGTGATCGGACTCCAAGCTTGCCCAGAAAAGATCTATGCAAAGGACCAGCTAGTGCTTTTGTAAAAAGATCGGCTATTTGAGAAGAAGAAGGAACAAAAGACAAAGAGATCAACCCATCCAGAAGTTTTTCACGAACGAAGTGACAATCAAGCTCTATATGCTTGGTCCGTTTATGAAAGACGGGATTTTTTGCTATGTGGATGGCGGCTTGGTTATCGCAATGAAGAGGAACCGGCAAAGAGGGCACAACAGATAGGTCGTGCAACAATCGGACCACCCAAGTTATTTCAGCAGCTAATCGGCGCATTGAACGGTATTCAGCTTCTGCGGAAGAAAGAGCGACTACCTGTTGCTTCTTAGATTTCCATGAAATGGGGAAACCACCAAGACTTAAGAAAAACCAACTCACTGAACGGCGTGTATTAGAGCAAGAAGCCCAGTCGGCATCGCAGAAAGCTAAGAGTTCAAATGAAGGTTCAGAAGACATGAACAAACCAAGACCTGGATCCTTGGAAATGTAACACAAAACATGCAATGCTGCTTGGTAATGTCCAGTATAGGGAGATTGCATATGCTGACTGAGAGTTTGCACAGTAAAAGAAAGGTCTGGACGTGTGCTAGTTAAAAAATTCAGCTTGCCCAAAAGATGTCGGTAAACAGTCGGATCAGGGAGAGGTTCACCACAACTGGAAGAAAGCTTAATGGCAGGATCCAATGGAGAAGAAGCTGGTCGAACATCCAAGCAATCAAAATATGTAAGTAACTCTAAAGCAAACTTTCTTTGTGTGACAATTAAACCTCCTAATTCCCTGATCAATTCTAAACCCAAGAAATAATGTGCCAACCCCAAATCCTTTATTTTAAATTCCATGTCAAGAAAATGTTTGATCTCATTGATTTCTGCTTGATTATTACCAGTGATCAAGACATCATCCACGTAAACCGCAAGAATGGTTATCAAATCCCCAGATACTTTGAAGAAAAGGGAGTAGTCATTAAGGGAGGAAGTGAAACCTCTGGTTCCCAAAGCAGAAGACAAACGTGCATACCACTGACGAGAAGCCTGTTTGAGGCCGTACAGTGATTTTCTAAGTCGACAAACATGAGCAGGAGATGGAGGAGATAGTCCAGGTGGGAACCTCATATATACTTCTTCATCTAATTCACCATGGAGGAAGGCGTTATTGACGTCAAGTTGAAACAAATCCCAATTTCTTTTCACAGCAATAGACAGAATGCAGCGGATTGTTGTCATTTTCACAACTGGAGAGAAGGTATCAGTATAGTCAATTCCTTCCCTTTGTGTGTCCCCTCGAATTACCAATCTCGCTTTCAGTCGCTCCAAAGTCCCATCAGATTTCAGCTTAACTTTGTAAACTCACTTGCAGGGCAATGCCTTCTTCCCTTCAGGCAGTTCGACAACATCCCAAGTATGATTAGACGCCAATGCCTCAAACTCCTTTACCATGGCATCTTGCCATCCAGGATGAGCAGCTGCTTGGTGATATGTTTGAGGTTCATTAATATGACATATAGAAGAAATAAGCCCCTGGTTCTCTTTAGTCAAGGCAGAGAAACAAAAAGAATGGAATGGAAGGAAATGAGGATTAGGAGAAATAGAAGAAGCATTATTGCAGAGATAATCTGAGAGATACTTAGGGTCATTGTGAACTCTTGTGTATTTGCGCAGCTCAGGTCCATGTGATGAGGATAACACTGGTTCTGAAGAGTCTTGTGTACCTGCAGGTGGAGAAGGGTATAAAACAATTGGTGATGTAGGAGTATGTGGCCCAGTAGGAGAGGAAGAAACGCCATTAGGAGAAGTAGGACTAATAAGGGAATGAGGACTAGTGGTTGAATGTGTAGTGAATGGGGACTGAACCTTTGAAGTAGGAATAGTATTATGTGAGGGAAGAACAGATTCGGGAAAAGAATCAAGAAACAACCTAGTCATTGGTGCAGGGAAAGAAAATGGAAAAATAGTTTCGACAAACTTGACATCCCTGGAAACAAAAATATTGTTTGTTTGTAAATTGAGAATCTTATATCCTTTTTTACCAAAAGAATACCCTAAAAACACTCCTGGAATTGCTCTAGGTGCTAGTTTATCCCTACCATGGGAAAGAGTAGAAGCAAAGCATAAGCATCCAAAAACCTTTAAAGAAGAGTAGGCAGGAGAAGAACCAAAAAGGATTTCATAGGGACTTTTGTGATGTAGCACTCGAGAAGGAAATCTATTAATAAGAAAGGTAGCAGTCAGTAAGCATAAACCTACTCAGATAGCACTTCAGGTTACTTTCGAGGCACCCCCAGCCCAGCAGGGCCAGCAGCAGACTCAGATATAGAGAGGTGGATCATCTCAGACAGGGTCACCCCAAAATTTCTTAGGTACATTAGATTGAAAGAGAAGGACCCTACAAGTTTCCAAAAGATACCTGTGTTTGCGCTCAACTACCCCATTTTGCTATGGGGTAGAGACACAACTGGTTTGGTGTAGTATTCCTTGAGAATAGAAGAAATCTTTAGGTATAAGTCCTGTCCCCAGCTCATAGGCATTATCAGACCTAATCACCTTAACTTTAGTAGAGAACTGTCTTTGAACAAGGGCAAGAAAGTGTTTTAATGTGGTAAAAGCATTAGACTTAGTGGAAAGAAGATAAGTCCAGGTGCTCCTAGAAAAGTCATCAACAATTGTAAGGAAATATCTCTCACCTTTATAAGTAGAAGTTTTATAAGTCCCCCAGGTGTCAATATGTATTAGATCAAAACAGTGGTTTGAGCTGATTTTACTAGGATAAAAAGGCAGTTTCGACTGTCTTGCCATAGGGCAAATTGTGCAAGGGCAGTCTTCTTTATCTGAAAAAGTAATAGGAATGTCTTTAATATGCTTCATAGCTGTAAAAGGTAAGTGTCCCAANCAGGTCCATGTGATGAGGATAACACTGGTTTTGAAGAGTCTTGTGTACCTGCAGGTGGAGAAGGGTATAAAACAATTGGTGATGTAGGAGTATGTGGCCCAGTAGGAGAGGAAGCAACGCCATTAGGAGAAGTGGGACTAATAAGGGAATGAGGACTAGTGGTTGAATATGTAGTGAATGGGGACTGAACCTTTGAAGTAGGAATAGTATTATGTGAGGGAAGAACAGATTCGGGAAAAGAATCAGGAAACAACCTAGTCATTGGTGCAGGGAAAGAAAATGGAAAAATAGTTTCGACAAACTTGACATCCCTGGAAACAAAAATATTGTTTGTTTGTAAATTGAGAATCTTATATCCTTTTTTACCAAAAGGATACCCTAAAAAAACTCCTGGAATTGCTCTAGGTGCTAGTTTATCCCTACCATGGGAAAGAGTAGAAGCAAAGCATAAGCATCCAAAAACCTTTAAAGAAGAGTAGGCAGGAGAAGAACCAAAAAGGATTTCATAGGGAGTTTTGTGATGTAGCACTCGAGAAGGAAATCTATTAATAAGAAAGGTAGCAGTCAGCAAGCATTCACCCCAAAATTTCTTAGGTACATTAGATTGAAAGAGAAGGGCCCTACAAGTTTCCATAAGATGCCTGTGTTTGCGCTCAACTACCCCATTTGGCTGTGGGGTAGAGACACAACTGGTTTGGTGTAGTATTCCTTGAGAATAGAAGAAATCTTTAGGTATAAGTCCTGTCCCCAGCTCATAGGCATTATCAGACCTAATCACCTTAACTTTAGTAGAGAACTGTCTTTCAACAAGGGCAAGAAAGTGTTTTAATGTGGTAAAAGCATTAGACTTAGTGGCAAGAAAATAAGTCCAGGTGCTCCTAGAAAAGTCATCAACAATTGTAAGGAGATATCTCTCACCTTTATAAGTAGGAGTTTTATAAGGCCCCCAGGTGTCAATATGTATTAGATCAAAACAGTGGTTTGAGGTGATTTTACTAGGATAAAAAGGCAGTTTCGACTGTCTTGCCATAGGGCAAATTGTGCAAGGGCAGTCTTCTTTATCTGAAAAAGTAATAGGAATGTCTTTAATATGCTTCATAGCTGTAAAAGGTAAGTGTCCCAATCTTGAATGCCATAGTTTATCCACAATAGAAACATGGGAAATAGAAACAATTTTATTCATAATGTCATTTGATTTTCCTTGATAAACAGGATGGACAGATCCTGGATACAAAGATTTTGGACAAACTGACTCATACTTACAAAAAGACACTGGACTACAAGACTTGGACGCGACATTAGAAAGAGAAGAGACTGGTGCATGAGGCTTGATCGATCGAGATTACAACTGGTGAGTGTTATCCTTCAGCACATAGAGCCCTGATGCAGCTTTACCAAAAATCTGATCCCTCTTCTTTGAAGGGACCTGTATAGCACAACCAAACTTGTTAAAAAGAAGATCACAATTAAATTGGTAGCACAATTGGTAGACTGATAACAAATTGCGCCTGAAAGAAGGAACAAATAACACATGGTGTAGTTCAAATTCAGGAGTTATGAATAGACTTCCTATATAATGTACTTTTACTTTAGAGGAATTGGGGAGGCTGACCAAAATTGGTGGTGACAGAATTGTTATATTGTGTAACAGGTGTTTTTGATATGTCATATGTTGAGATGCTCCTGAATCTATGATCCAAGGAATGGGAGTGAGCGGAGAAAACAAAGAGGTAAAGAAGTGACAAGCAAAGTGTATACCAGCTAGATTAGCATTCGGTGAGGCAGCAGGGTTTGAAGTGGATCCTCCATTCTGCACATATTGAAACATACTAATCAACTTCTCGACCTCCTCTTTAGAAAATCCATGAGACTGAACAAGAGAGGAAACAACATTTCCTGAAATTCCTGTGATGAGTTCAGGTGTACAACTGGCTGAATTTGCATTAGGAGTAGCATATGCACCCTGTTTCTGCTTGTTAAACTTAAAATGTGGTGGGTATCCTATTAATTTATAGCAACCTTCCTTGACATGCCCAGATTTTTTGCAGTATTTGCAGAAGAGATCACTCCTTTTTCTATCAGCACCTGAGTTTGGAACACCAACTTTGGCTCCTCCATGATGTTTCTGAGGAGCCCATTTTGCCCAGAAACCATAAAAGCAGAAGACTCAACAGAAAAGGAAGTACCAGACTGAATTTCTCTTTGTGACTCATCATGTAATACAATGGAATAGGCTTGAGCAGTAGAAGGTAAGGGTTTCATCATTAGAATGTTACCTCTCACTCTATTGTAGGCTTCATTCAGTCCCATCAGAAATTGAATCAATTTTTGGTCTTCATTCACCTTATGGTTGTGAGTTTTAGCACCACACTTACAATCACAGCTACAAATCATAAAAGTATTAAGCACCTTCATTTGATTCCAAATCCTTTTGAGCTTGTTAAAATAGCTGGCAACATCAGAAGTTCCCTGACTGATTGTATTTAACTCTCTCTACAGCTGAAATAATTTTGTGCCATCGGCTTGTCCATACCTTTGCTCCAGCTCTTGCCAGAGTTCCTCAGCACTTTGAGAGTAGATGACACTTTCTGCAATTTCCTTGCTAACAGAGTTGAGCAACCAAGAAAGTACCATGTCGTTGCATCTCTTCCATTGAGTGAGTAGAGCAGACTGAGAAGAGGGTGGAGGACAGGCTCCAGTGATGAAACCGAGCTTGTTTTTGGTTGACAAAGCAATCAAGACGCCCCTCTTCCAATTCCCATAACTTGTGCCATCGAAAATGGTGTTGATCAAGTTCATCCCTGGGCTATCAGATAGGGTAAGAAAGTAAGGATGAGATATATCAATCTGTTGAGCAATGGTAGGAGCTGAAGAACCAGTGCTATCATCCTTAGAAACAGCTGAAGGTGTAACTGGAGTTTCGTCTCCCATTGTTCAGATGTAGATAGTGAGGCAAAGAAGAAGAAGAAAAGGACAAGAAGAAGAAAAGAGAAAAAAATATATTGGATCTCAGAATTGCTCTGATACCATGAAGGATTTAGGAGAAATCATTGTGGGAATTTTTTTTCTGTATCATTCTATATGTCATATGTACAGTGTGTGCTCTTTATATACAAGTAAAATTGTCTGACAAGGCATCTTTCTACGCTAACAAACTCTAACAGAATTATAAAATAAATAATTGCAAAAGAAAAATATTTACATGGTAAAATCCCTAATCTACCCTTAATGTTGTTTCTAGAATTCCACAGCTGTGCAGCTTATGAGACACATGATGGAGGACACACGTCTTAATCATAGCAATCTTTGAGAACCTTAGATGTTCTTTCTCTCAACTAGGTCACTTCTCCTTCTCCTTCTGTAATCGGAGACTCGTCGAAAATGGTAGAATGAGGATTTTGTCCGGCAACAGTTTGATAACACATGCAGCGGATGCGAATAAGTTTTCGCCCTCAAATACAAGTGTGACCTCATGTTAAAAATATGTACTCGAAAATATATTCAAATAAATAGTAGCAACGTAAAAACAGAAACAGAAAATTAATCCAAACCCACTGAATTCACAGTATTTTCTTAACAACTTAATCTCCTCCTAGTACCCATGGTTTAGGATTATTTCCTACAGGATAGAACGAATTGCCCTCACTGGTGTAGCGGTACTCCAAACCCCAGTAACCAAAAAGCTGAGTATACCGAAGATTTGCAACTCTTCATTTTAAGGCGGGAACTCAAAATGGTTGTTTTTGCAAATCGCGAGATTTAAATTAAAAGGGGAAAATTAAAACAGAGGAAATATTAAAATACCATTACAGAAAA